ATATTTTAAATATTAAATGTTAATTATAGTAATAATATTTTAATATTTAATAAAATATTTTATTGTGACTAGACGGTTAAAATAAACAATTATAATCATCACAATATGACGCAACAATATCATCTCGAGAATCAGTGGTATAACTGTTACGTCAGGCTGTTGAAAAAGAAGAAAAATTAGTCTCTCCAGGGGATACAACTGAATTCCCCTAGTTCCTAAATTTACCTCGCCCAGTCACTTTACTAAAACACTTTTCAGTTTCTCGACGTCATTTTTAAAAATCGTGCTCCTGGTACAGACTATGATAGACCGGGTTTGAATCCAGGTACAATGGTAGCCCCAGCTGATTCACCGTTGGATCCCCTGCCTCCCTGGAGGACGGATGCCATACATAGGGGCGTGAGTAAGGCAGAAGGGAGCGCACCCTTTGAACGAGCACATGGACAAATGGCGAATACGAAGACCGGTATCCCAACACTCCCCACAATGCGCTTTCGCTACTCTTTAGCGAGTTTCATTTTCAGACTAAATATGCCTCACGCGGTAAAGCCTTGCAAGGGGTGTCCATTATATTTTCCCAACCGAAAACAAACTAAAACCAATGTATATTTTCGAGGTACAGAGCAGGGTTAAAAGACAGTCTATATTTTTCGAACAGAGAGTGCATATTCCACATCACAAAAAGTCAAAATATCCGAATCTTCAAAACTGACAAGAAGACTGACTTCCAGGCAAGCAAAGTCACTATGTGGGATTTGAGGTTTTCACGGCGGAGAGTCTGAAGATGGCTGTCTTCTGGGTTGTTGTGCCATGTAGTCTGGTAGATTTCCACCAACGTTTCAGAGGTCATACTGACTCCGTCATCAGGGCGATGAATGTGCCAATCGAGCGGAAATGACCAGGTTTATAGGGACCGGGCAGTAACAGGAGTAGCCTGATCCTAGCCAATGAGACCAGGTTTTAAACCAGGCGTGGGCAGGTCTACTCCCGTTTTAGTTTTAAGCCGCTGTTTACCATTTCCAGCAATGCGTTTCGTAAACAGGACTCCGCACTTAGTTAGCTTTTGGTTGGTTGGTTGGTTGGCCAGACTACACGGCGCTACAACCCAGAAGACTGCAATCTTCAATATCACAGTACTTCGATCCCTTACCTGGATCGACTCGGATACGAGAATATCACAATATTACATGGAAAGAGACCTGAAAAACATTCTATGGGGTGCGGTTGTCTCGCAGTTAGCGAGAGTGTACCACGCATGGGAAAGATGTGGATGGAATCTGAGATATGTACGCTTCTCTGTGGGCGGATGCTGCCAGCTGACATTTTGTCTAAGCACTCTTGACTTGATAACACTGTGTGCATTAACTCAGGACCACTAACTACTACGTCGGGACGGAACATAGCAACAGCATGAGTAGAGTCCATCCTTTTTAAGATAGATTTTAAACTTATTTTCCTATTTACGTCCACGTTCCCCAAGTGGTCTCCTCCTTTCGGACTGATATTTTCAATGTAGTCCTCGTCGTCAGACGCCTTCTACATGCCCTACCCATCCAGACCTCCTTGATTTTATCACTTATGAGCATACAGAAAATCTCTCGTACAAGTGACTTCAGTAGAACCGAATATTTTGGTCTTAAACTGCCAACTGCAGATAATGGCATTTGTTTATAAACGCACCGCAAAAGTCAAAGTTAATAGCTGTGAAAGTAGGAACTGAACCATCAGCGTTTGGCGGAGTGGCATCTGGAGACGGCTGGGTCAATGAGGAGTCTCGACAAACAAGAAGAAACGTCTCCTAAGCTTACTTCCGGTGTCAACAGGCGTGACGAATGCAACTGAATATGCAGTTGCTCTAATGCTGTTGTTCCATGTACTACTCATTCAGCAAATACGAGTTTACACCGGAATTAATGTATCATCTGTATGAAAACATTTGACTGTAGTAATTTATAACTTGTGTTGGGCAAGGCCGTGGTCTAGGCAACACGGAGTTTTCCTCCGTGGCATCCCAACAATTACTCCATTCACACACAGAAGAAGGCAATGGCAAACCACTTCGGGATCATCTGCCAAGAACGTATATGAACAGGTCCCAGTCCGAGAAAAGAATGGAAGGATCCTGTTCATATGGACATGTCGTCAGACAGAACACTAAATAAAAAAATAAAACCTCCATCACCGCTTTATCAACTGCACACGTTATTAGTAAGAATATTCGTTTACAGGGCAGAGAATCGAACCTGGTACAGTCTGAGTGCGAAAGAAACATCACCACTAACCCGCGACGCGTGACAGGGTATTAAAGGGGAACTGAGATACTCCTGAAGCTGCCCCTAGATGGTAGACGTGCCGGTGGTGCAAACGACAAGGGCGTTTGAATGAAACTCCATCCTAAGTATCAAAAATTCTTAACGTTCCTTTATATTAAATAGCCATAACCAATTCAGTAGATGCTTCCAAGTCGTGTTGTAACAGAGTCCTAACGCAATGAAATAAAACAAATATAATTCCAACGTAGTCAAAAGTCAACCAAGACTTTTGTTTTTTGACTGTTAGTTTCTCCTGTAGCCCACGCGTTCGAAACCCCTGATCTAAACACTGTTTCAGTGTGACAGTGACTCTAGGCAGTATCTCGTGACCTAATCTTCTTCAGAAACGGGACTCTGTGGAAGGGAGATGACCTCTGAACCCTAACTCCTATTAACCATGTGTACAGCATGTCAACATAAGACGACATTAAAACATCTGCAGCAAGCTTCCAACTATCAAAGTTCATTTGAAATAAAATGGACTTGTAAGTGAATTAAATGGCGATATTTCAAAATGCGTCATGAAGGTCGAAAAACTGGGAAAACTCTACGCTAAACAAACTTTCCGTGCCATCTACAGTCACTATTATAAACTTGCTGCCAATAGCAATCCAAGTAATTGAAAGATAAAATATAACGATATTACAAAGCTGCAAATAAAATATACCACCCACACAACGAATACACTACAAGTAAATAAATGTATTACATTCCAATGGGGTGAATTGATAAGCCGAAAGGAAATGACAGCTTATGAATTAGAGGATGCAAATTTCGTCGAAGTCCTACGCCATCCTTTCCGTGCAGTGAACTACGCGTACATTCTTCAAAACACAAATTTGTGCTCCG